TAAATAATTATTCATTGCCTTTATTCTTCTGTCAAAGTGTGCAAAAAAAAAAAGCTTTTTATTGCCTTTTTTTAATATAAGGACATGGGCCTTTGTGACATGCATTTTATTTTAAACTAATGCTTCTATTATTCCACATCTGAATAATTATAGCTGACATCATCTACTCTTCGGTGTCCTAGAAGATCTTTAGCTCTAGTCCACTGTTACATATTTTATGCATTACATGAAATAAAATACCTCAAGATTTTGAAAATATTTATTTTAAAAACAGCAATGAAATTGTCTGTAATCACATTTTCTGCTCTGCTTTGAAAGCAGCATTATTCAATATGCCAGTGGTCTTTTCCATAAAAACAACATATTAGAAATTCATGCTGCTCTAATATATCTGAATTCATTGATGTACTGCACTCCCTATAGACCTAAAGAAACATTTTTGCTCCAGTTTCATATGTCCTGCACATTACCTACTGATGTGGTGGTTGTCAAAACAGTTGTACAGTAGCCTTTGAATTCAAAGTGTGTCTTGACTGTATACTAAAAATGACAATAAACCTAAGTATATACATTATGCTGGCTTTTGTTGCCAGCACAAGTGGAGCATTTGGGAAATAAATCCCCTGATTTTATTGCCTTTTAACATCTTTTCCACTTTAAACTTCAAACCCAGAAATTTGAAGCATTTCAAGAAACTAAAATATCTTTTATTTCTTTCTTGTAAATTTTCTATAGTATACCATCATGAGCCACATTTTCAAAAAGATCAGCACAAGATTACAAATTAAAGCATTCCAAAAATAGGTCTTTTTTCCTCTATGTAAAAACAGCACTGTGATTTTTTAACCCTGGTTTCTTGGGGAAAAAAGCAATCATCTATAGGATATACTAAAGAAGCCGAAATGTCTACAATTTTGTTGATAAAATGAACACACAGTAAAACTCATTTTATAGAACACATCCAAAAGCATTTTTACAGATAAACACACATTCTCATAGGGATGGTATACACATGCATTTGTTTGCAAATGTTAGAAGGGTATTTCTTGTGGTCCTTGGAATATTTCAGGAAAATTCATGCAAACAGAGAAGTGCTGGCAGGTCAAGCCCCAACTGCAACTGAACCAAACCTACATGGGGCTACCTTCAACTGTAGCAAATCAGGAGGGGATCCCTATTCCGTTATGTAGAAACAAATATGCCTACAGACCATCAGTACATCTTCACTAAACAGCTCTATCTGTATCTAATTGGATCCACTTAAGAAGCAGGAATAGAAGTCATGTCCATTTTGAAGGAGGGCTTTAGAGAGCTCCCACATGCGGCTGACCTTGCTGGGGCTGGACCATGCGTCACATTCTGCACAAATTCTGTAGGCTTCTGAACCCCCAATATCCAGATATAATGAGCATCTAAAGAAATCTGTATGTGACAGCACAGTATAAATTAGTGAGCGTGTGCATGTGTGTATATGCCTGTATGTCACCTAAGCAGAAAACAGAAATACACAAACATAGAAGCCACTATATGCGCTGACAGCAGAATAATGAGAAATTTTAGTGATTTTATTTTTTTATTAAAGTAGCGGGGGTGCAATAGGAAGTCCAATCAATCAAAAAAACTTCAAAGAAGGCTAATTCCAAATTTAAGTATCAGACACGGTAAATGGCAATGGGAAATTTTCATCTCCCAGCATTGTAAAATTTTTCAGAAAGAATTCCCACAGTGTAAAAAATCTGTAAGAAGCTGATCCCTAATAAGAATTCACTGAGCTGGTAGTGGGCTTTTATTGTGTGTGTTTAAGCACTTCCACAGAGGAGAATTCTTACAGAGCTTGGGGCAAATCCTGCAATCCTTACTCAAAGGGATTTCATCTGCAGCTTGGAGGGAGTGCTGCACAGTATGAAACCGGGACTTCTAATGGGGGGAGTTTTGAAGGATTTTTAAGAGGAGTACATCCTCGATTTTCAATCTGTCCAAAATCATGGAAATCCTCATCTGAAAACACCTGGTAGCTGAGATGAAAGAAAAATGCTACAGTAAGTGTACAAGCTATTTTCCTACTTTGTTTCTGAGCTCACTGTGTTTCCTTTCTCTTGTTTGGCTAGCATTGATTAAGGCTTTGTCTATAAAAACACCAACTGAAAACCACTCACTAGTTCTAACACAGACAAAAAGGAAGGTACTATTGCTAAAATACCAACATGGGTTAAAAACTGGCTGAAGGGAAGGATGTTGAAAGTAAAAAAAACAAATAGACCAAATTCAATCAGAGGCACATTGCACTGCAGCTGAATTTGTCCCAATATAAGCAAAATTTGCTGAAGATGTAAAATTAATTAGGGATAGAGAACAGTCAACAGATTCATTTCTAAGAATAATTTTTCTAAAAATACTCATTAGTGCCCTGAAAAATGAAGCGAGATACATGGTTTCCAAATACACTAAGCGGTAGTTGATATACCAGAAACTATATGGCACCAAGAGTTTAGATAGATTGGAGAAACTTATACATTATTTTCGATGTGAGGCAATATAAAAGTGATTTAGGCAAGTACTTGTTAAATGGATCAGAGTTTGATGAGATAGTAAAAAGGAAACTTAGAGATGAGTAATAGCAAGAGAAAAGAGTCATACTGGAGAAAAAAATGTACAAGGTTCTGGATTATAAAGAAGACCTTCAAAGCTAAGTAAAGAATGCTAACTCTACAAAATCCTCTGTCTTTCTTCATCAATGGAAAGCCAAAAGGACAATGGGGCCATTCTGTTCACTGAAGAAGGCACTGAATTCACTGGAGAATTAACTTAAATTATCTCCCTCAAGCTAATTCCTCTCAAATTATCAAATTCAAATCAGAGCAACTATACTGCTAAACAGTGTTTGAACCGTACAAAATTGTGATGTTAACATCCTACCAGTTGTACTAACGTGAGATGTAGCTTAATCCCCTTAACAGACAAGCCAGTTTGAGTTAAAACTATTGCTAGTTAAAAGGCCCTCTTGTGTGCGAAGGGCATGCAAGTTAGGGAAAACAGCTGACTTAGCCCATGATGCTTCAAGGATCATGTTTTATTTATTGAACGAATCCTCAGAAATGACTGATAAAATTTAGCACATATTTTCTTGAGGTCTGATTTTCATTTTTTCTGATCTGCACTAAGTCCCAATAGCAAAATTGCCTAGTTATATTATTCAGCTTTTTTTGTATTTGCCCTCGATGCAATAATTCACTGTGATGATCTACAAACTCTCAAGGCCCTTTGTTCAGAGCTTGTTGCAAGAGGTTAATGTGGAACATCAGAGCTTAAAAGAATGCGTAGTTTTGAGCCATAGCCATGGCTCAAAAGAGGTCAATTCAATGAAGTACTGCTTGTCTTGACTGGAGTGCCAAGCGGTTCTCTTACTTTTTCAAGTCCTTTCATACATCTGATTCTCAGAACCCCACACAAGATTTAGCTCATGCTCTTTAATGCATGCCATTAGCTTTGTAGAAATGGAAGCAAAATTCAAAACATTTCCACGAAGTATATTTATATTTCTCTAAATCTGAAAATCTGCCTCTCCCCCTCTCCTTCCATTATTGAACATAAGCCTGGGGTCATATTCTGACCTCAAACACAAAGCGTGCAGCATCCTAGTAAATCAACAACAGCTAAGCAGCCCCTAAGAAGCCAAGACTAGCCCCCCTGCAGTACAGCTCGTTGGACATCCTCAGAGGGAATGCAGAGCTCCTCAAAATCAAGGCAGCTTTATTTTAATTTAGTTGCAATGAAGCTCTGTGACAAGGCAGATTTTTGTTGTAAACTAACTGTTTTCTGGCCACCACGGCCCCCCAGCCGCTGGCTCTTGGGCTGTTAGTCTGAGGGGCTGATGGGGAGCTGAGCCTAGATCGCTCAGCCCACAAACCTCCATATGCTGCCTCAGCTCTCAGGCTCCCAGGGCTGGTTTTTTGGTTTTTTGGTTTTTTTTTTAGGTAATGTGATGGGGAGCTAGCAAGCTGGAACCCTAAACAGTCTCAGTCCTTAAGTGCAGACCATCCCAGCTGGGACACGGTACCCTAAGCCTCTGATCGTCCAGTGAGAAGCCCAGACACTTGGATCTCTAGGAATGGCAGATCCTTAACCTCAGCTGTCTGGATCTGCAGTTTCTGGGCAGCCCACCTCGCAGAGTGCCTGAAGTCCAGTGAGCCCCACACAACGCCAGGCCCCATCCTCTTCCATGGGTTTTTTAACTCTTTGACTTAGAATTGTACATAGACATGAAATAATGCCCTCTTCCGTAAAACGGTCTTGTCTGGAGCTGCTATGCAAGAAGTATACTAATTATTCGTAGAGCCCACTTGAAAATGTAACATGTAAAGTAGCTCTGCAGTTGTTGCAAGCAATTTAACATTCAAAGAAGTGATTTATAATATCAGGCTTCCCACGATTACAACCATAATGACTATCTGACAGACTTTATAAGCAAATCGTCCAGTCATTTCAATTGGATTCTGGCTGGCTAAGGACTGGGAACTGTAAAAAGGCTATAAGATTTGGCCTGGAATCAGAAATAACATTTGTTGTTTTCCAAACCTGCGGTAAACAAGAAAGGGGATATTAAATTTTTGTGCATCTCTCAGCACATGCAAATGAGAATGGAAAGAGGCTCGTCAGACAAACACAGAACAACGGCCATCTGGATCCAAACCCTGCTCCAGTGGAAGTCAAAGCCTGGAGCCTCCTTTTTTCATTATTTACATCCATGTAAAGCAGGAGTAATTCTACTCAAGACAGCGGGTAACATCCTGGCTTTGAGGAACTCAGCTGTAAAACCTCCACCGCCTCCGGTGGGGGAAGGATTTGACATAGGGAGTGCGATGTAAAACCCAGAGTCAGGCCAGCTCGCTCCATGACTTGAGTGGTGCAGGAGCTGGCCCATCAGAGGATTTCAAGCAGGTCTGTATTTCCACAATTTCGTAACTTAAAGTAGTACAGAGGGAAAGACTAAAAATGCTTACCACAGAGAGGGAATTGGAAAGCAGTGCCCCGTCTTGGCCAAGCATGTTGGAAACTGTAATTTCGGGTAGATCCATGTTTTGTGGGTGGAATGGAAGGAGGCCGTTGTGGTTCATGGGATGACACAGAGAGTGGTACCCAGACTCTATCTCATTCAAGTGCACCAGGGAGTGGTCAGGCAATGACGGAGGAGTTATAGGAGGTATGTTAAAATCTTCACTTTCAAGACTTGGGCCAGGAAAAGACTGGAAAAAAAAATACGGAAAGTGCTATGAAAATCATATGAATACTGATCAAGAATAATAATAAAAGTCACACAAAACAAACAAAAAGAGCCCAACTCGCATACTTCTAAGCAGGAGCTTCAATTTAACAAAGAGAATATTTTAAACACTCATCTATTATAACAGTGGAGTTTCACCATTATGTATGGAAGAAAAATTGCCTCTAAGGCATAAGAATCTCTGATACTTTCACAGCTTCCATTAGAAAGAGATTTTTTTTAAACAAGCTGAATTCAGATTTCAAGGGTCCTATTAAAATTTTCCAAGAGTGTTCATCTAGCTGAATACCTTTTTCATGGGAATTGTGGAAAAGGGAATGCAATTTATAAAATTGACATTGGCTCAAAATGGTTCATAAGGCTCCCTGCTACTCAGATCAAGAACTATATAGTGAAGAAGAAAGATACCGCTTTTAGGCTTACAGGAGAACCATGCATTTGTTCTGCTACAAAAAAAAAACCCAAATGAATACAGAAGTAGTACATATTTTGTATGAATATACTTTGTGTTTACAAAAATACATTTATGGTATCTCAAAAACACTGGTTTTTCCATTCTTAATCTATAAACTCAATGATACATACATTTTGTCAGTCATCTAAATTAGTTAATCCACAAAGCAACTGTTTAGTCATTTGTTGTCTGCTGCCATTAAGTCATCCAACTCAATCTCATCCAAGGAAAAGCCACAGGCAAAGTCAGAGTAATGCACCAAGGTGGATAATTGCTATTATTTATCTATATTCTTTGTACAGCAGGTAGGCTCATTTGAGGGATAGGGATGGGTATGCTTATATTTCTTAAAGGAAAAAGGTGAGCAGGGTTAGATACATGATCCAAATCAAGAGTTAAAGGGGTCAGCTGCAGTGGTTCAGCCTGAAAGCCTGCTCTGCTTTTCTGAGAACAGCCACAGTTCTCATCTCCTTTGCAAGTGATCAGTCTTTGCACATCCCACGCCCACAGTCACGAGGTTTATAGCACTAGTTCCACCCTTCCTGTCCCTCTGCGGCAACGCAGCCCTGCTCTGAGTGCTGCTTTTGTTAATTCTGGAAATGCAAGGATTTAAATATGTTCTGCTCCTGCAAAGTGTCTTCAGAAAAGATGAAAAGGAGGCCACAATTTTAAAAAGCAGCTATTAGAAGAAAAAGTTTTCCCCAATATGAGTTTGCAAATGGAGGACAGTATGGTGCATGAATTCATGCAGAAGGGCAAGGGAAGAATCAATGCCCAATTATAAACAAAGGGGTTTTTCATTAGTCATCATAGTAATAGTGTCCTCCCTGATGCCTGCGGTTACTCTCCTCTGTACGAGCGTGGATATAAAAACTTAAATCAGACCAACAACAAAGAGTGTTACATGTTTTCAGTGAGCTGCTGAACACAGAATAACCTACTCGAGGGCACATTGTCATGGTTTTGGTTGCTTTGCTTGTTTCCCAACAAGGTTTACACCTGTTACCAAATATCTTAGTATGAAATAGAACAGGAAGGCTAGACTGCAAAGGCCAAAGTAAAATCCCAAAGAATGAAAACAACAGGACAGGGAGAGGAAAAGGTCTGGCAGTGATATCGCCATCCTTATGCATGAGGACTTTGATTCTGCCTATGCTTTCCAGCTGTGTTTCTCATCTCCAGCACAGGAGTTTGCTCTCCCCTTGCCCCTGCCCTCTCCTTAATGGGAAGTTGGTGTGAGTCTACTGCCATTGGTAAGTCATACTTGCCCCTGCTTTTAGAAGCCATGATGTAGCCATCAGCGGAGACATCTTCAAGAGAGGAAATACATACAGTAAAAATAGACCCTCACTAAATGGAGAGGAGACTTACCCATGACAAAAAGAACACGTCATATTTACTCAATCACAATGTATAAACTGTGCAAAACCAAATAAAAGTATTATGGACACTGTATACACTACCTATTTGCTAATTACTATTATATTAAATTGATGATGAAAAGAAAGGTGTCTAAAGTGAGCTTAAGGTCTAACACCACAATAACAAAGCTGCGAGGAACAGAAATGAAGGGAGGGACAACACCCATAATGCTATTCTGGACCAGCACTATCCCACACAAGTACACTTAGATTTGGTTACTGTAATCCTGGTGAGCTTGGATCCATGTCACCTACAGCTACCAGGAGGGACTCAAGAGCTGTGAAAAGAGGACATCTTGTGTTCAACACTGTCTTTGCTACTGTCCCAAAAGACTGATGGCCTCAAAAGAGTTTTCTCATCCATGATTTTGCAGGTACAAAGAAGTGTTAACTCAACATTTGTTTTCTCTCTCTCTCTCACTGTCCTACAGTGAAAATACCTTGTGCTGCATCTTTGCTGAACTGAGATGTCTCAACACCTTCTACAGGAGGAAGAGAGACCTGCCCTCCTACTTTCCTTAAGCAAGAGTAGGACAAGGATCTACAGTATTCTCTCACCACTTCTTTAACAAGAAGAAGGGACTTCAACTTACATTCGCTACTAAAAGCAAATATTCCTAAACCAAATATTGACAGGCTGGGTGTGCCTACACCATTAACACTGGGGGCATTCAGCAAATCTACTGTCTTATTTGTACACCCTTTTTGCATGCCATATGTGGATAGTCCAGGTTTTACTTCAGTTAAACTTTGATTTGCTGTGTTTCAAATGTGTCTTTAATTAGTAACACTTCAAAAATGGTGGAAGCAATTGAACTGCCATTAGGACATTGGCTTCATTTATTAAAAAGGAAGTAATACACTAGTAGCATAAAACTCCACAACTCAAGCTGTGTGGTGTGTAACTATATAATAATGTTATATATATTTGCTAAGCATTTTAAATAGACAGTTGCTCTCTGATTATTTTAAAAAAATCACACCATGGTTATTGCTTGTGAACCAGTTAGAGTGTATTTGATCCCACATCACCTACCACATCACGGTCAACTGCACTTAAATAAGCTTCTTAAAGTAATAGAAGTAGTGTAGTAAAAGCAATAATAACTCACCGAAACAACATATAATTCAAGCACTAGTACTTCCTATAATGTTTTTTCTTTTCTTTTTTTCCTTTTTTTTTTTAAAGACATAAACTATTTTACTACTTCAGTAAAGCTAGGCAGAATCCAAGCCATATGCTAATGGTATGGATAGATATTTGAAAGCATCTGCAGAGCACCCTATTCACCTAACATTTTTCAGCCACTCTGGTATTTCCAGAATTAGTATGTGTGTATGTAACATACAGATAACTTCCTCAGGGAAGCTACTTCAACAGTAACGTGACAGTACTCCAGTTTGTGTTGTCCAGGAGCATTGTTCAAGATGCTTGTAATGACTCGGTACATTGGTACATCAGAAACAAATAATCCTATATACATTTGCAGCAAACCCAACATATCCCAGAAACAAGGCTGTTGCAACTTGCACATGGAGGGAAGGAGTGAGGAACAGGACATATGCTTGTCCTGCCAATAGCAGCTACAAGCTTCAAACACCCTCTCCTACTATCCTGCCGTCTCTCTCCTCGCCATTGGGAAAGCCTTCTTGAGGAACCATCTGGAGTCCCCTTGATGCAACTGATCCAGTGCTAGCAATGGTCTCTCCTGGAACGTTGCGTTGTTACCCAAAAAACATTTAAGGGAACTCCAGCACAAGGCCAGGCCCGAGGTTTTCCCTGCAGCAAGAGCTCCCACTCCCATCATCCTGTCCCGACCCCTGCACTTTCTTTGAGCATCTCTTCTTCCAACCCAAGCCATTTATCTGGAATTTCTAATGAAAGCAGTTATCTACCATCAAAAGCATTAGGGAAGGCTACACTCCCCGTATCCAATTACAATTCATAAGTACAGCTCATACTTATTAATAATAAATGGTGGCCTGTATCTTCAGCTCTGTTAAGTTTTTCTTGGGGGTGGGGAGAAAGGTTAGTGTCTTCCCCCACCCCCCAAGGGTATTTTCCTTCATAGTTGGCTTTACTATCAGCAGGACTTTCTCTATTCAGAAAGACATGGAATAGCTCCTTTTCATTCTACTGGTCACATTAATACTAGCAAGCTCGCCTTTTCACTTTTGAATCAAAAAAGAGTAGCAGTAAATGCTTTATTTACTTTACCACAGAGCTGCTAGGAACTTTGCCAGTGGTTTCGCTTTCATCTCATGACTGTGGGAGTACATGAGGTGTTTATCAGCTCTTCAGTTTAGTGGAACTTCCTGGACCTTTATTACATTCCAGAGAGAAAGCTCTCTGCAAAGTAACACCATTAAACCCACTGCATAGCACTGAACAGACACGGGCTTTAATTTTACTTTATTATAAAGAGGTTTTTCATTACACTTGTATTTATTATAAGCAGATTTCAGTATATTTCAGATGGGAGCTACAGAGTGGGAACCTCAGAACTGAGCATCCTTAAATTTGGGCTATTTATAGGCATAAAAATATGAAAAAGCTGTTTGAATCAAGGACGTCTTCCCAAATCTAAAGGACAATATTCTATGCTTCTGGTTAAATATTTGTGACATTTCTGCCTCAAATGATGGAAACTTCATAAAGCAGATGATCTTTGAAATGCCCACTCTGAGATCAAAAGACTTCATTATCTATGCCACCTTAGCCTATAATTTTATGAGAAAAGCTTGCCAGAATAAAATGATATGAACACTTAACCCTGATCCACTGTCCAACCCAAGTCCAAGCTTTCGTTCCTGAACAATGACCTCGTTGGTCCCCTTCAATTTACCTTTTATGCCACTTAGCCTGGCCAAATCCAGCAACAAGCTATGGAAGGGGGGCAAAACTGGGGGGTGGGTGGTATATGTCAAAGGTCAGTTCTTTGCTTTAGCAACACGTAACTCAAATTAGGGCTAAGCATCCTGCTGTGCTAATAACACACACAAAAAAAATTCTAGTATTTATTTTCGATGAACCCAGATACTCATTGCTATCAGAAAAATAAGGGAAATGCTTGCACAATCTGCTGC